AAGTTCAGTCCATGACCAGAGCAAGAGGTAGATTCCAGGCGAAACGGCTACCAATGCGACGCAACAAACGCTGCCCAGAGAGTTCCAGAAACTGGTGTCTTGAAGACAGCAGAACTGACAAGGAGAAAAGATCCAAACAGACAAAAGAAGGCAAGACAATTCAGACGGCCATGCCAGAGCAAGTGTCGAAGAGGTTCACAGGAGTCCAGGCCAGAAGATCATAGAGCTGAATAGGGACTTAAGGGAAATCCAGGTCGGGTTCAGGAAGCAGTTCCAGGGTCATCAACAGCCAGAATCCAGCAGGAGTCCCAAGACCGGTCAGGCAAACGGATCAGAACAGAAACGTGCAGGCACAGAGATCCAAATGCGGAATGGGTCGATATCAGGCAATAACAACACAATAAGGTATGCTAAGGAAATGCACAAAGGCTCGAATAACCTGGCACTGATGACTGAAAGCAGGCAGGTTAAACAAATGATACAAATGAATAGTGATGAGAAACTGAGCGGAGCTAGTCAGGTAAATAGAATAAACAATGATGCCAGTCATCAAAGCAAAGATCATGACAACATCTTGATCAGTGCAGGCGCAACTGCCATGCATCATCCACTGCTTGTAGGGCACCAAGTAGAGTGACCAGATGTCTTAATTTGTCAGGGACTGTCCCACATTTGACTTGGTCAGTTTTGGAGTTTTGAATTAGGGATAACCTGTCCTGTCTGAGAGAGCAATAAAGAAAACATCACACAGACCATTGCGTTGTGAAGAGGTGCGTCTTCCGCTGGGTGCATGCCGGATGGCAAGGCTGTCACAAACCACAAAAGTTTTACTGTTCTACTGTGGAAGGTGGTAATGCTAGACTGATATATATAAACAATATATTCTTCTTTCTGTTGGAATTTTTGTTGATGCACTTATAGCGGTCTTTAAAGGGCTCTATAAAGACATTTTGCCAAAACAGTTTTTTAAGCACACTGATTTATTTTTCAACATATTCATCCAAATACGGTTATACAAAAAGTTATAATAAAGACATACAACTTCTATGAAATTAATTTGGATACATAAGAGTAGCGCTCATAAGACTGTGAGCATAATTGTTAGAAGACTGGTAATTTTTTTATTTATTTTACCTTTATTTAACCAGGAAGTCCCTTGAGATTGAAATCTCTTTTTTGAGTGAGACCTGGCCAAGACGGCACACCAGTTAAAATACAAACAGAAATACAGCATAGACAAAATCTCACATAGAGGAAAAGACAGGTCACATAGGGCAGTTATATTTTTTAATTACATGACATTTTAACATGGCTTTAAATAAAAGAATATCTTCAGCCAAAGGCTTCTTCAGATCTGGTTCATGATAGACTACAGCTATTTATGCATATAACAACTATTTAAAAATAATATAAATAGTGTTCAAGTATTTGAGTGCTCTAGGTCATAAGTAAATAATTTAACCATATACATGTATATTTATGACTAATTTTGTAAACCTGTCTGCTCACCTTCTATTTCTATTAAAAAAATATGTCATATTTTTTTTATTTTTTGAAGTTGAAACTGGACTGTATGGTACACCTTGATTAGATCAAACATCAGAATTATGTGTTCACTGAATAAGATCAGTCATGAATGCCAGAGTGTGTTTGGCCAGCTGCCTGAAATAGAGGCTAACTGGTAAATTACTGCAGCTGCTCTGATGAGTCTAATGCTTTCCAACTCTGCTTTACACCCAATAACTCAAACCCCACCCTTAGTTCTGTATAACTTATCCACAAACAAAGCAAGTTTTTAATTAGGAGGTCATAATTAATAATTTATGTGAATTCTGTTAAGCCAAAGGTTGGTTTGGCTTTTGTCGAGCATGTGTGCTTTTATTTCAATATTCCTGGAAGATTATACACCTCAACAGGAATATCTAAACATTTGAAATGACAAAGGTTTTTAAACTTTTGTTTAGTCTAACACTACTCAGTATATAAAAGCCATAGAACTTTAATTAAATGGGAAAGAATAAAGCATAGCTTAACTGAAATTCTTGAACTGTTTTAAAGCTAGTGTTAGCAGAGCTTCCATCACAGCAAATGCAATAAAATTTTAAAAAATTTTTTGTATGCATTTTGGGTCAACCACATTTTTGATTGTACCAAAATATCTCTTTTTATGTCCATATTTAAAATCTACTCTTTTTTTTTTTTTTTTAAATTGGCAGGACAAGAATACTCTGTAGTTATCAGTTAAAGGGGAACGCCGTTTTTTTTTACACTGGGCCCTTGATTTTACGTTATTACATCATGTTCTACTCACCCATATGAGTTTTATGTCATTTGGAGCTGTTCTGAAGATATTCCGTTAGGTTATATCCAAGTAAAGACTTTCTATGAGCAATGACTTGAAGGCACAAACCAAACTGTTCATAATTTATAATTTATGGTACACCAGCATCCATAACATGTAGGTGAATCACTGTCCCCCAGACATCCGCGGTTATATTTTGTGTGTATGACATTATCCACGCTCATATAGGTGAGTAGAACATGATGTAATAACCTAAAATCAAGGGCCCAATGTAAAAAAAAATAAAAAAAATGGCGTTCCCCTTTAACTTCTTGAGTGCTGAATCATTCAGAAGAGAACAATGAAAAAAGTTCAGAACCAACCACAATTGATGGAATGTGGGTACAGTAGTGCACTCCATAAGAAATTTGCACATCTGTTAAGATACATTTTGATACAGGTTGAACAGGTTGGAGATACTGAAGAGCAACAGTTGCCACCATCCTGCAATATAACATCAATATAACATCAGACCATTTTCAGGATGTCTTAAAAAGCAGTTTTTATAAGATGAAAAAAAAATCTAATGCTTTGAAATACAAAATATTTCAAGTTAAAATTGACTATGTTAAACAACTGTAACGTTGGCTTTTTTTCATTTTTATCTATTATATTTGTGCAAAATTCTGTTAGGAAAGGTTTAGAAATCGAAATATTTCCTGCCATAAATTTTTTTTATAAACATATTCTAAATCAAATTATGCTCTCTTGAAACAGGCTTTTGTTGGTCAGACCTTAGATCAATTTTCTCAGCTTTGATCAAGATTTTCATAACAGCAAAGTGAATCTGATATATTTAAGCTGCTCTTTTTAAAATTCCTCTTGGTAATGTCTCCTCATTGGAACTCTAACCTCTTTGTTTCCATCTGTCATGACTCTGCCCCAAGTTAAAGTCCTTACTGATCTCATGAATAACCGCTGAATAACCTCCCTTTCTCTCCAACCAGTAATTCAGATAATAGGCCTTCAATTAAAATAAGTCAAAAGGAGCCAACCCTCTGTGCCCACTTCTTCCCCTGAATGACATGAAAATAGCTAAAATTGCTTAGCTGGAGTGTGTGATAAGAGGGATAAGTTGGACAAGGTTTCCTCTGAGCACATTTCTGTCTGAAATGTGTGAAATGCAGATATTTCACACATTTGGAATACACTCTATTAGAATTGCCAATACAGCGGATTTTTTTATTTATTTAGCCAAATATGCATTTTTAAAGGCTAAGTTTTCTGAAAGTGTAATTACTCCCATAGAGTTCTGTTTTGGTTTTCATATCACACTTTACTTCCTCAGATAGCCATACCAATTAGCTGTTTAAATTGTTGTGGTCCTAAAAAGACAACTATCCTATTGAATTAAAGGTTTATTTTATCAAAGAAATAAGTTGTTGTATCCCCTTTAAGGGATACAACAACTCAGAGCCACATTTTAAGAACTACAGATCTGACTAGGTGTGTTTCCATCAGCTTTTTCTAATGCACATTTTTGAACTATATGAACTATGACAAAAAAAAAAAAATCTAATTTGCAAAACAGGGCTGCACAGTTGCGCAGTGGGTAGCACCTTGCACCTTGCAGCAAGAATGTTTGATTCCTGGTCCTAGGACTTTCTGCATGGAGTTTTCATGTTCTCCCTGTAAATGCATGGGTTTTCTCCAGGTACTTTGGCTTCTTCCCACAGTCCAAAAACATTACTGTTAGGTCAACTGGCTTCTATAAATTCTCCTTAGGTGTAAGTGTGTGTGTGAATGGTTGTTTGTCCTGTTTGTCTCTGTGTTTTGCTCTGCGATAGGCTGGCGACCTTTCCAGGGTGTACCTTGCCTCTAGTTTATTGACACCTTGAGATAGCTACCAGCACCCCTCGCGACCCCAGCTGGGATAAAACATGATAGAAAATGGATGGATGAAATAATTTGCAAAAAGGTTTTTTCACTTGCTTTTGGTGAGTTTTGGCTTTTGCGAAGAAGGTTTAAAGTGCAAAATGGAACACCCGGATGTTCTTATTATGCATATAAACTTGCCTAGAGGCTACATGACGATGACTGACTAACTAACGGTTTAAAGTAAACAGACTTGCTTAATAGCAACACATTCATTAAAGCTTTCCTCCATTAACAATATTTGCTCAATGCCTCTATTTCCTGTTCATCAGAGCCATGTGTGACAATATAATGTGGACTGCCATGTATGACAAAATTAGGCTTTGCTCTAAAAAAAATAAAAACATTTTGACCGGGGAAAATAAGGGAAAATGGGCTAACTCTGCACCGCCACTCTGGCAGATAGTGCTGTGGAGCCGACACACTGGAAGACGTGGACTGACTCAAACCCCAAACAACATGAATACCAAAATTACTAAATGATCAATAATCATCTGTTATCAGATTAGATGATCTGAATCATCTAAATAAAACTTTTGTCACAGCACAGTAAAGGGGAAAAATCCCCTAGAGCAAAGAGAGTTTATTTTACGTGGATTTTTCCCCCACACACTGTCAATGTAAGACCATTGAAACTAACAATCAATTGAATACTAATGAAATAATAAGAAAATGATCTGAGGTGAATGAACTGGCTTCACAGCCCAAGGTTTCATATCCTGCTTGAAAAATTTCAGTTGACGTGTGTGAACCTGAAGGATTTCTTATCCCTCTCCCCTAATAGGTCCCCCCTATCTTATTGGACAAGCAGTTTTCTGACTTCACCCCTGACATCACTCCCATCATCCTTGCTGCTCACACCAATAACTATGAAATTATCAAGCTTCTGGTGCAGAAAGGTGTGTCTATGCCACAGCCACATGAGGTGAGGGAAACAAGTATTTTTAGTCATGCATGTGATTGTATATTTTATTTTGTGTGAATTGATGTTTTTACTTTCATTAGGAAATAACTTATTGTAGAATTTGCATATGAACTAAAAGGCTAGTAACACACTGTGGTGTCTAAATGTTACATCCATACATTACAGTGCTTAGCAGATTTAATAAATTCAGCACTTGCTTTGCTACACAGGAACATGATCCATGACTAAACATAGGGAAGCTTCATTAAAATTTGTCCATGCTTTGTTTGATCTTGCAGGTGCGCTGCAACTGCGTGGAGTGTGTGTCTAGTTCAGACGTGGACAGCCTACGGCACTCTCGGTCTCGCCTCAACATCTACAAAGCACTGTCGAGTCCCTCTCTAATTGCGCTCTCCAGCGAAGATCCCTTTCTCACTGCATTCAGGCTCAGCTGGGAGCTGCAGGAGCTCAGCAAGGTGAGGAAAAGAGATACACAGCTGTTTGCTGAGCCGAGCCACATGTTGCTAAAATTAGACTTTAAAGACCTGAAATATTGGCAGCATGCTCGTTAATTACCATGTGTCCTTTCCCAGTTGTCTTGTATCATTTGCTTTTGATTTTTTAAATTTGTTTTTGGGTGGGTGGGGGGGAGTACTGTGATCATTTTAGTGGGGTAATTACCGAAAATGAGAACTAATCATAACTTTTTTTGTTGTTGTGACAAGATTTTGAAAAAGTGCTCATCATCTGTCAGAGTTTGTATATTTTAATAATTTAAGTGACATATTCTTGCTGATTGTAATTAGGAAAAACTCTGAGGTTTTAGAAGGGGAGCTCAAGCAGTTTAATTTGTTAAGAGGAAGGAACGCCTAATTAATGTATTCACATATTTAGATCTTGAACAGAAGTTATGATGGGTAACTTTTCCCAGTGACAAAATTTTACATCAATATATAATTGTGATGAAAGATATTTTCTGTGTGTTCTGTACCTGTCCTTTTCAGGTAGAGAATGAGTTCAAATCCGAGTATGAGGAGCTATCTCAGCAGTGTAAACAGTTTGCTAAAGACCTCCTGGACCAAACGAGGAGCTCCAGAGAGCTGGAAATGGTTCTTAACTACCGGGACAATGCCAACTTACTGGAAGAGGAGGGTAACAATGACCTTGCAAGACTCAAACTAGCAATCAAGTACCATCAAAAGGAGGTATGTTAAGAATTAAAAAGTGAATTATTAGAAATAAGGCTTTTAATTTAGATTGGGCAAGGATTTATATTTAAAAGCACAAATTCTTACAAGCTTCAGGGAACAGAACATGGAACAGACATTGCTTGTTTAGCTGTGTTTTTATATATCAAATAAATACATAGTACACTGCTGCTGCCCTTTTATTCACCTAAGATTACATAAAAAACTACAACTGCTTTAGCCTTTTATATAGAGCAATAAGACACCATATCCTTTGTTCTCTATGTCTGCCTCATCATCTTTAATGTCACCATAGATGCCTAAGGCTACATACTCTTTGTACTGCTCCACTGAAATAATAGTTTCTACTGCATCAAGCGAAGGTCTTCTCACAGGTGCTGATGTCCTACATAATAATGTTACATCAGCATGAAGTTTAACAGACAAGGCTTTCAGATTATTTTATTTGTTTTTCATAATGTTATCTTCTCTTTATGGCACAGACACGGAAATGTACAATCATGTGAAAAAATTATGACATAGTGCTGCTGTCATGGGTTGTGATGTCGAAAGACCACAATGGCAAAAGACATTGGTGGGCAAATGCTTGATGGATATATATTTTAATGAGGAGTGAGAGGCATGAGGAAAATTCAAGAATCTGGGAGATGATAACATGTGTTATCAAGTGGAAGCAAGGGACTAGAAAACACTGACTCATAGTTAACAGGGATAAACAGAACTCCTGCAGAACAAGAGGATACAGTTAGCTGAAACACAAACAGGTGTAGCTGTGTATCACCCCATCTTCAAGGGACGGATACCAATTCAATTCAGTTTATTTATAGAGCACCAATTCACAACACATGTCATCTCAAGGCACTTTACAGTTCACCAGATCCTGAAGTCAAATTGGTTCAAAGTTTCCTATTTAAGGAAAACCAGTTGATTTCATTGACTCCAGACATCCTCAATGAACACATGAACAAAACTAAGAATAAAAACTCACCAACAGAAAACTCAGAGGGAGCCTTGCTAACAGGGATTGAAAAAAAAAAAGTGTTCAGGAACCTTGCTGGCCAGTTATGTAAGAATCTTGAAAGGTGACAGAAATGAAGCCCTGGCTATTCTTTGGTAAACATTTTGCCAGGAAATTTCCCCTTGATCATTTTAAAATGGTATTTATACATCTCCAGAAAAACAACTTTTATCTGACTATATCAGGTTATTAACATTCTGGAGCTAGGATATTTATTTAATGAAGTTAACAGAACCAGATTGGTCGACTCGTACACACCAACTCTAACTGGATTACTTCTGTCTGAGTGACATGGCATCTACACCCAGCTAACTGTAAAACAGAGGACAATCTGAAGTTCTACATATCTGTGCCAAGAATAGAGAACTATCATGTAGCTGGCTGGGGTCTTTTTAAATAGAAGATACAGCAATATCTTAAAAAAAATAGCATTTGCATAGCTGGTGAAATTAGCGTTACATAAGAAAAAAACACAATATTTTATTTACTTGAATTTACTTGGTAAGTGTGCACTGGATACAAGAGTATAGTCTGGCAGAAGTCAGGTTGATACCGTGCTGAATTCAAATTGAGCTACACATATCTTATCTGGAAAGTCTCCTGTAAAAAGTGTGTGCAAAAGGTTGGGACATTGGGACAATTCTTCGAGCTGAAGGGGTACCTGCCTCCCATGTCATGTATCAGCTAGATTTGTTTCACAGCCAGTGGAGTTAACTGATAAATCAAACTCTTACCTGAACAGGTGGATCACACAAACAACTGCCTATCCACAAAGGGAAAAATCATGTCATTTTGAAAAAGAAATAGAGAGTATTCCAGCTTAAACCAGCGCAGCCATATTTGTTTTGCTTCACCCTTCTGCCTCTGTTTGACATATTAATGTCATACACATCACTGCATTGTCAAACACTCAGAACTTTGGACCCAGAATTCAAGCAGACAGGGGAAATCCAAAAACTAGAGTCATTGCAGAAGCAGGTTTCCAGGCCAGAAGATCAGAGAGGTGAAGATGTACCAAAGAGAGAATCAATGCCGACGTCAAGAGATAGGTCCAAGGTCAGTAAGCAGGAAGAATCCAGGAATCAATCCAAAACATATCAGGCCAACAGAGCAAAACGGGCAAATCAAAGCTCTGAAGTCCAATAGCAGAAAACTTGTCAGGATCAGGGAGTCAGAGTATCACATAAATGCTAGAGTTACTCTCACACATAGCTCGAACAATCTGGCACTGATAGCTGGAAAACAGGGAGCATAAATAGGACCTGGGAACAGGTGGATCTGATGTGCGGTAATGAGCAATGCGGCAAAGTTAGACAGGTGAATGAGATGACATGTTTTATGAATCAGTTTCTGTCCAATTTGCTTGTTTTATTGCTTTCAACCAGAGCTGTCTAGGGTCAAAGCTACCATAGTTCTGTTTTTGTTTTTGGCAGTGGTAGCAGGTATGGGATTAAACTTGTAATTGTCTGTACTCTGTGGATTCTGGTGACCGAGAACAACACTATCTGCCAATTTAAGCTCCTTGTGTAGCTGACTCAGTGCTGGTTTGTATCCATCCCTCCAGTTGTCTTTTTTTTGCTCCCTTCTATAGGGTTCGGAATTGATAAGATTTTCATGATTCTGATTCCCTTATCGAATCTGTGAAACAATTTGATTCCTTATCAATTCTCTTATCGATCCTCTTATCGATCCTCTTATCTATTTTCTTATCAATTCTGTGAAACAACGAGTTTGGTAAGTGCACTGTGACACTCGTCTACCTTCGCTTGGGACATTCTATTTCTGCCTGCCTTGGTGAAAACAGAAGACAGTGATCGGAAGCTGCCAGCCTCTGAGCCAGCAAGGTTACCCATCTCATTGCAGTCATCTAAATCTAATGGAGAAGGCATCTGTTTAATGGAAAGGTATTACTGTACAATTTTGGGAAATAAACTTATCTCCCCCTGATTTGAATAAAAGAGTGTCACCTTTCTCTTGCTCCCTGTACTGCGGAGAAACTTCGTAGCATTTTTAATAACCCCAAAAGAGAGGTAGGAATTTGGTTTATTTCCAAAAATGGCATATAAATGGCATATGATTTACTAGGAACCACATTGAACACAGCCAGTGATATAAAACTAGCTACTTACCACAAGAGTTGCCTTCCATACTAGTCGTAACTTTAGGTGCTGTTCAAAAGGCATCAAAAGCAAGGCATTCGTTAAAATGTATGCCATGTTGTGTGCGCAGGTGTTTCTTTATGTTGGATGTATTTCCTCCCACAGATGTAATTGCCACTTAACATCAAACTTTCGATCAGTTTATCTGATGGGAAGCCATTCTTTTTGTATTGCTTTTCTAGACTTACGCCTGGTCACGTCGTACTTGCTTCCTGAATGCCGTGGGCGTACTTGCGTAAAAAACGTAATGTAAGTCGTACTGCTCAGCGCTAGGCTCTATTCCTGCCCGGAACTGTTAAGAGAACCGTTAAACAAAAACTAAACGGGGCCAGGTAATTGGAACGCATGGAACCGGTTTTTGATTCCCATCCTTACCCATCAAACACTCCGATGTAACACTTACTTGGACAGAAAATGAGTCTGTAGATCAGGGAGGTTTGTCTGTATGTTTGGGACTTGAAACAGACCCACAGAAAAGCTCAACTAGAGACCAAAGAGGGAGCTCATCAACAGGAATAAGGAGTGTCCACCTGGATGCCCTTGCTAAATGATCTTAGGAACTAGGGTACAGGTGTAAGTGGGAGCTTGGGATTGAAGTTATATTCAACAGCAAGAGTCAGGCTCTGGTGCCTTCAAGATCTAGGGGCAAAAGAAGCTGCTGTCAAGCTACATGGGGGAGTTCTAGTACATGGAGGTTGCCGGGAGCATGTTTAGGAAAAATTAACTCAATATTCTCTTCAGTCATTAAATCAGCTAGACTCTTCAGTGAAAGTCCACACTGAAGCTGTGAGGCAGGCTGGGGGGGGGGCTCCTAGTGCAAGAGTTTGCTGAACCTCACAGAAGAGGTTGAAGTTGTCAGACTCAGAGGTTTCCTGTGTGGAACACTATTTAGTTTAACGTGGCCTTCCCCACGGATCACTTTGCAAAGGTGGAAAAACCACCTTGAGCCCCAGAACAGCTATGCCTTATTATCTGTCCTGCAAATGTTTGAAGACATGGTGGTTACTTTAACACATGTTCCTTGGTTATTTCTTGGGTCTAGTCTTACCATCATTCTTGATCCCCAGTCGGCCTCGGCAGATGGCCTCTCACACTGATCCTGGTTTTGCTGGAGGTTTCTTCCTCTTAAAAGGGAGTTTTTCCTCTCCACTGTCAGCACGGACATGCTTAGTTTTAGGGATCATCTTTTAGTCAATGAGTCGATGCAATCAACTGGCTTAGATAGAAAACTTTGAATAAATTTGACTGTGTGATCTGGTGAATTGTAAAGTGCCTTGAGATGACATGTTTTGTGAATTGGCGCTGTATAAATAAACTGAATTGAATTGAATTGAATGGTTTGTGGTGTCGAATGACCAAAGTGTCAAAAACACTTTGGCAGGTTTTGCATAAATGCAATACAGCTTTCCAGGAAAATTACCACCTACAAAAAAAGGCATCATAATTTGGGTGTGCTATGCTGAACCAGGCTTTAACATCTTCAATATCATAGAGACCACCATTAATTCTACTGATTGTCAAAAAAAAGGAGGTAAAAAGAAGAAAAATAGTCAAATTAAATGATGCTTCACCAGTTATGATCATTCAGGTCAGGCATTGAACTTAAATAAATAAATTAAAGAATATTGAAACTATTTCCTTTTTCAAATGACTGTAAGTAATACCTTAGTATTTGTTTACTTGGACAATCATAGGTATTAAACTATTCAATATTAAAGCCCACTGACCTCTGCTGCTATGAGTGCTTGTATTTCCATTACTTTTCCTGGTGAGTGAACAATTATTATGCAAATAAGGTAAATCTGGCAAAGTATTTTATC